ATTGATGAGAACGATTGAAGACCCATCTCTTGTTGGATAAATATATGGTAATACTTAACTTTTGAGCTCATATTTTGATACTTTGGAACTTTAAATCTGATCTGTTTGAAGGCATACATTGAAAATTATGAGTATTTCTTTTATGGGTTTTTGGAGATTTGTTTCTTGTTTTTGAGAAAGTGTCCATTTTGCATGAAGAACATTATCTCCTTTCAATTAGACAAGCAATTTACACATTAGTCTTGTGCCTACGGTAACTACGTTAGAGAAAAGTTCACATTTTGATTTGGATTTTTGAACTGTCTTTCTCAGAATGCATCTGCGAGGAAAACATATTTCTGAATGTTTGCTCAAAATTTTGGAGATTGAAGATGATGCCTGAACAGTGAAAATCGGTGTTATGTGTTTAATGAAGCATTTCGTCTTGGTATTTTTTTCCTGCATACAACATAGAGAGACTATAATTCTGATTTTGGAAAGGAACAATCAATGAAGAAGATTTATTGGCTTTTGGGTGTGGTTTATTATAAGTTTGACGTTGCCATTTTCAATCCGAAGGCCAGGACTGCAGTATTTTTTTATATTTAATACAAACAAGGTTGTAGACCTTACTGGGGAATTGACTGAAACTGAGTGCTATTTTTGGTTTGTGTGATATTGGTATGTTTTGATAAGATAACAGATTGTGGGGAAAACAGGATTTTTAAAGGGGTTCTGATGGCATCTATTAGAAGAACATTATCTCCCGTGCCTCGACCAGGAACTTTAATGAATGGGGAAGCATGTCAAGTTGCATCTCCTTTGTCCAAGTCGTCTTCAAACGGTCAGAATTACCCTTCGTCAGTGGGTTCGTTGGACAATGCATTGTACAAAGCCCAATATTTTGTACTTGGTCTTCTCTCTCCACAATAAAGAGCCGGGAATCTATCCAGTTTCGTAAAGGGACAAATTTGGCAGAGAGCTTTTCTCCATTTCTTTATATGTTTTGTTATTGGGGTTTTGTTTGGTCTTACCCCGTTCATTGCACTGAATTTATCCATCAATGTTATATCAAAACCCCAAGCTATCTACTTTGAGGTGATCCAACCAGTTGCAAACAGTCAGGGTGACGGTGGGCACAGAAATGAGACATCGGTGGTGGTAGTTGACAGATTGTCCTTAAATGAAAATACAACATTAGAGCCACAAAGGGAGAATGTTGAACCAATAGATGGAATTTCTGATGACACTGTTTTGAGTAATTTGATCTATGGAGGTTCAAATTTGTGGCACCATAAGCTTTTGATCATTGTGACACCAACATATGCTCGTCCACATCAGGCATACTATATGAATCGTCTGGCGAACACATTAAAACTGATCCCGCATCCTTCTCTGTGGATTGTAGTGGAGATGAAGTCTCAATCGGTGGAAATAGCGGACTTATTGAGGAAAACAGGTGTCATGTACAGGCATCTCGTATGCAGTAAGAACTCAATTGGCATAAAAGAAAGAGATGTGCAGCTTAGAAACGTGGCCCTCTCACACATTGAAACACACCGTCTCAATGGAATTGTTTACTTCGCAGATGATGATAACATATACTCCGTTAATCTCTTTAACCAAATAAGACAAATCAGGTACTTCATTTATTTATGAATAACTTTATATCCTGCATGCATATTTAAAGTTTCTTTATGCAATTTGGACTCAAATTTTCTCTATAATATCTTCTGATTCTGATTTAATTCATTGGCACAGTGAGACTGCAGAACTTTGTACAAGATATGTTCATTTGGTTGTTAAGACGTGAAAAGTGTGTCAACATCTGTTGGCATGCTTTCTTAATGATATTAACTTGCAAGTTGCGATATGAACAATAGAGGCGACTATTAGCACATGAACAAATTTCTTATGCACTCGTGCCACACATGCATGCTTGGTGTGACTAGCTAGTTCTCTGTAGTATATTTATTTACTAATGCTTAGTTTTTAAGGTAAATGTATTAAAGCTTATTGCAGATTATAGGGTAAATTTATTAGAATTGATTGCAGATTATAAAAGAAAACGACGACAACCATACTGCTCTAAATACTGATATCATGGTTAGAATAAAATAAAAAGTTGGACAAAGCATGACTCTTTCATATCAAGTTTCACAAGTTTAGATCTTTCGTTAACTCCCCACTCTGTTGCCGCCGTTTCTAGGACCGACCGAAGCCTTACCTGCACAGGTACCTATGTAGTTTAGTGCCGATTGCATGTTCAACACAGCGTTGGGACTCATGCGAGTTCCAGAACCAGTGGTCTTTGAGCCTCCGGAGCTAAAAAAAAAAAGTGACCTATTGGGGTTTCCCATGCACTGCCTTCGCCTAGGACATTAGAAAGGGAGGATATTTAAATTATGCAATAGTGAAAACAAAATGTAGATGTGTATGTTGAAAATATGAAGCACGCTTTCAAAGTCGAGGCAAGTTAAAAGATAATGTGTCAAAGGAGTGCCTTCCTTTTGGTGGAACTGTTAACAATATATATTTTATCTATACTTGTGAAAGTGTTATCATGCAACATCTTGCTAACCTTATTAGTTGTTTTCTTTGAACTATATAGATTGCTTAGGGGTTGGCAAATCATGCTGGCTGTAGTTTTACTTTTCTGAAGTTTGTTTCTATTTTTAGAAGTCCTATGATTAAAAATTATTGTATCTATAGTCTATTAGGAATATTGCTGAGAAACTTCATGAAGATACTATATGGGGAGATTCAGGTTTTTGTTCTTGGCGGATAGGCAATCTGAATTTGGGACTGAATTTACTGGAGGTGCTTTAAGCATGGTTTTGCTGATAGTGAGCTGTTGTAGACATGTTTAGGTTCTGTTGTTATACAAATGAATTTTTAAAATCGAGTTACTGTAAAGGGGGTAAACCTTGAAGGTGATTCTGATTCACAACTTGCCAATGGGCAACTTTTTAATCCATGCACTCTGGCAGAACATTTTAGTCTCGGATTGATTATTCTTGTCCGTGGTATTCATTTTGGAGTCACAAAATTGATTATTCTTGTCCCTGGTGCCTCTTTGATAGAAAATTTTGTGTCAAGAATATAATTTTCTAAATGCAGGCAGTTTGGTACCTGGGTAGTGGCCAACATAGATGAAAGAGAAAAACAAGCTGCATTTGAGGGTCCAATTTGTAATGGCTCACAAGTGATAGGATGGCATGTGAATGATATGACAAAAAAATCTCGGAGATTCCATGCTGAGATGTCTGGTTTTGCTTTTAATAGTACTATTATTTGGGACCCAAAGAAATGGAACCGGCCTACACTTGAACCAATCAGGCACCTTGACACAGTCGAAGAAGGTTTCCAAGTGAGTCTCTCTTTTTTTTAAATAAGGAAGAAGACTATAGGAAAGAACATAGAAAGATGTGTTATCTGTATCTGTATCATGTTCTAACATTATCTATTTGCATTGCAGGCAAGCACATTTATTGAGCAAGTTGTGGAAGACGAAAGCCAAATGGAATGCTTTCCTTCAGACTCGGAAACTATTATGGTCTGGCATCGTAACATGGACTTGTATACCCATCCTCAAATACGGGCTGTAGAGAATGGTTTGAGCATTATTGTTCCACTTGCATGAAATTTTTCGCCTAATTAGAATTTCAACATGGATCCAGGTAAGAGTAGTGCTCTGTTTCTAATTTTTTCATCTTTCATATTTTAAGTAATATGTCTCGCTCCTTTTTCTTGTGATGTGTGTTTATCTATCCTTTTTTAAATTGCAGAGAAGTTTGATCAAAAAGTAAAAAGCATCTGCTGCTATTCAAGATCGAAAGCTTAGTAGTTATTGCCGGTTAAAGTGCATTGTTCGAGTCCAAAGTATTTTTGTAATCAATCATTCCCCATTTCCTTGAAGTCGAATACTATTTCTGTACAGTCACTGAGTTTGTGCGTACCTCCATGGACAAGGGAATGGTTTAACCTTCTAGGCAGGATGGTTGGCAAAACTTTATACGATTTGTGTGATTAGAGTTGTGCAAGATCAGGCTGTTTTCTTGAAGGTCTTTACAGAGTTTCCTTTTATACAAACACTTGCATTTATCATTGTTGTGGAGAATATATGATATCTCTTTCTTTATTCCACAAAGATTTGTGTATGCATAAAATGAGTGGAAGTTACTCCATTCTTTCTCCACTATGCAAGATCACATTTTACCTTATTCTCTCCAAAGTCCGAAGTGTAGCCTAGATGTTTTGTTGGACCGCGAGGAGCAATTTATATGCTTATTCACATTATATCTTATATCTTATATATATTAAAAGTGGCTATATAACAGAATTTCTTATTTTTAACGGAAAAACTAACGGAATTTGTTATTTTAACGGATTGTGTAACGGAATTTCTTATTTTAAACAGGCAGCTGCACCTTCTTTCAGTGTTTTTATCATAACTTTGTATTCTGATATCCGATTGAGGCGATTCAAAATGCTTTGGAAAACTAACTCATCTGGCTACAACTTTGATTCAGACATCATTCTCAAATTCGATCACTTTCTATGCCAAAAATAGGTCTCAATATGAGACTAAAACATCGGAGCATAATTTTTCGGTTGGAAATTGATTTGCGATCATCTTTTGACTAAATTTGATCCCCTTGACATCTTCCTTTATCCAATTGACTCCGAGCACTCTCAAATCTTCATCGTGAGATTCGGCACTACTTTTAAATATTTATATTTTAGCCCCTGAACTTTGGA